TACGCATCGACGTCTTTCTTCATGTTCGGCCAGTAAGCTCGCTGTCTAAGCAAATCATATGTCCTGGTGCACCCGGTGTGAGCCATCTCGTGACACGAAATAACCAACTTCGTCCTCAATTTGAGGGGATCACCGGCACCGGTGTAGCTTCGCGTCCTTGTGTCCACATCAGAATTCCGGCTTCGTTGACATGCAGCTTTTCCAAACTCCGTGCGAATGGCCCGAATTGCTGGCTCTGCTTTTTGGTTACAGCAGTTTGGTTCGTTATTCGTGCTGTTATCACTCTGTTCAAACGTCTGTCCTTCCGTTATTCAGCCGCTAACTTACTCGGGTCCTGCTCCAGTACTAGACCACCGACACCGAAGGCAACACTCGGCAAATTCTCATCGTTCGTCATGCGTGATAGAAAATCTGTCCTCTCATTGTTTTTCCCCGATATATGGTTTATCGTAAACTCGTATTCTTGTAGGCGCAGCGCCCATCGCGCCAACTTGCCTCTGAGGTCTCTGGAGGACCTAATCCATTCCAATGGTTTGTGATCGGTTTCGATGTGAAACCGCTGACCCAACAAATACAGTCGCCACTTGTCTAGAGCCCACACAATTGCAAGACACTCCTTCTCCACTTTCGAATACTTGCGTTCTGATGAGGTCAAAATTCTACTAGCGTATTCCACTGTGCCTTGCTTCTGCTTCAGCACCGCACCGATTCCGACGTCGCTTGCGTCTGTGGCCACAGTGAATGTTTCCCCGGAGATCGGCAATTTTAAAGTCAGTTCCTGTCTGCCCATCTCCTTCTGAATGTCATCAAACGCTCACTGAGCCTCTGATGTCCAACTGAACTTCTTCCGTTCGCCCAACAGCTCATACCAAGGTGACGCCAAGCTGTTAAAATGCTTGACAAATTTACTGTAATATCCAGCGCGGCCCAAAAATGGCCAGAGACTGCGTTTTGAGGTCGGAACTGCGTTGCCTCGAATTGCCAATACTCTTCCTGCAGCGGTTTAAGTTTACCCTGACCCACCTTGTGACCAAGCAGTGTCACAGACGTCTTCCCGATTTGAGATTTCGACCCATTTATCCGTAATCCAGAGTGCTGAATATTTTTGCAGCGTTGCTTCTAGATGACGGTAGTGTTCTGTCTCCGATTCACTATACACAACGATGTCGTCGCTGTATACGGTCACATTCTCTAATCCATCCAGTAGTTGCAGCATCAAACGCCGGAAGGTAAAACGGGCACCAGATAATCTAAACAGCATCCTTTTAAACTGGTACTGTTTGTCACCGACTGTAAACGCTGTCTTCTCTCGGTCCTCTTGTTTGATCTCCAGCTGCTAGTAACCAGACCTCAGATCCAGTACCGTAAATATCCTTGATTTCTGCAGTTTATCCAAAAATGTCTGCGACTGAAGGCATCTGGACGAATCGATTCAGCGATATTTCGTTCAGCCTTCTGAAGTCCACACAAAAGCGGTACTTCCCGTTGGCTTTCTTCACCAAAACGCTTGGCGAGTTATATGGGCTGTGAGCCTCCTCTATTACGTCTGCATTCAGCGTCTCCTGCACCTGTCTTCTGACCTCGGCTTTCAGGTGTATTGGTACTCTTCTGGGTCCGTGCGTCCGATACGGCTGATGGGATAGTGGGATTGTGTGTTCGACCCAGTCACAAAACCCATAAGGACTGCTATCGTCTTTGAATAGGATATCGTACTTGCTCACAAGCGACTGAAAGGCTGGACTTGTGTGTAAACCGCCACGACCAAGCACACCCTCATGGGTTCTTCTCTGCCAACAAACTGGATAGCTCCGTATTTCGTAACCAGCTTTCCTCGTTTCAGGTCGACGACTGCTTCACTGACTTGGAGAAAGTCAGCACCCAGGATAGTCTGCTTTGTGTCCGGCGACACGATGAAGACGTTTTAACTTCCGACCCCTAACGCCAACCACATGTTCCGCCATACCATATATGCGTATATGGTAACCACCAACCGCCTTCACAACCTTCGAACACAATTGAGTTTTCACCCCATCTCTGTGACTGATTACGGAAACTGCGGTTCCTGTATCAATCAGACATCTCTTCATTTTCTCATTCACTACCATCGCCTCAATCGCACCTTTGTTCAACGCCCCAAGGATGCATTCCAAACAGGAGAACTACGATTGGTAGCATTTATTTCGTACAAAGGCTGTACTGCGATTTGACGGACATTGGCGCTTCCAGTGTCCCAGTTTCCCACAAACGAAGCAGCGTCCCTTCAGCCGTATCTTCTGTGAGGGAACTCGAAGTGCCCCGATGTCTTGCGTAATCTGTTTCAGTCACTCTTCTAGCTCGTTCAATCGCCCTTCCTCTGCTTTTTACCGTTGTCAACGCAGCAACTGCTTCATGTGTAAGCTCACTCGCTACTTGGGCATGCTATATCACGCCAGTTCTCTGGGTGGCGTTCACAATCCGGAGGCAATCGCCTACCGTCGGAAGGAGACCATCCAAAAACTGTTCCACCAACAGTTGTTGTCTTGATTCGTTATCCAAGTTAGGCAGCACCCGGGCCATCAATTCACTGAGGTGGACCGCGAAGAGCGGGTCCTCTCCCGCTCCAAGCCTTGAATCGCCGCATCGCGTATTGGCGGTCGGCCGGGCTGTCGAACCCCGCAACCAGTGTCTCCTTCACGGCGGCCCATTCCAACTTGACAGGGCCCCTTCGCGCTGCATCTAGAATAGCCTTCGCCTTGCCCTTAAGGAGGCTCCGCATGGCAGCTAACTTCGCCCGGTCACTGCAACATCCTCGAAGTGCCCCAAAAACTTCCGTACATCGCCACCCTCAAAGGGTCCTGGCCACGGAATCTTTATTTCCCACTTGCAGAGGACCACGGCACCAAATGTTGAGAACGGAATGACGGGCGGACGAGCTGTTCGTTGAGGAACGCATGTGTGGTTAACATAGGAACGCATGTGTGGTTAACATAGGAACGCGAGTCTAATTTGCGCATGACATTCGCGGCACCTTTTCGGAGCGATGCGCCGTTGCAACCTTTCATTCACCGAGCATCTGTTTAGATTGCCTCGTGTACGTCGTCCGGTTGATTTTCCATCACACCTTCGTCTACCGGCGTCTCATGATTTAAAGCAGTTAGTACCCTTCAACAATTTGAAAAGCACAGAACGAAGACGAATGCTGGTAGATGCATGCATTTCGTATTGTCTCCTCAGTACCATTAACAATAACCGATTTGCATAGATATAGCTAACACTGTGTATACCAATCTGTATGTGACTGCGGAAAAGTTACATAGGCAGAACCAATAGAACGCTGACTTCCCGAATAAAGGAACATGTACCAAGATGGGTTCAACGTGAAGTTGCTCAAATTGCCTACCCTCGTTAGATTCCATGTTCGCGCAAACCGCCGGCTTCCTCGATAGGCAAACACCTATTAGACTCGGGTCACCAATTAGAGCTGGGCTCAGCGTTTAAAGTTGTGTTATGTCACACTAATCCCCGCTTCCTTCGGTTTGCTGTGCCTGCCGCTATAAGCCGGATTAAGCCAGCCTTGTGTGTTCAGAAACAATTATTTGTCAGCCTAAAGCTGTCTTGGACGTAGGTGTGAACTTCCGTCATTCGTTTTGCACCTTAAGCTTGTCTGGTCACATGATTCGTCTGTTTCCCTTGTGCGCTCTCGTTGATATCCATACTACTCATAAGTAGTGCATTACATGTGGAATGTGGTGTCCCACAGGGCTCGGTGCTGGGATGGCACCAGTTCCTGGTGCTTACCAACGACTTGGTAAGAGGTATCTCCTCAAATTTCCTTCATTTCGCCGATGATGTTAATACATGGCGGGTCACTAATAATAAGATCACCATCTATTCCAACATGACCGGGATTTCATTTTGAATGATCAACGAGGAACCTGCTTCCGTTGAACACATCTGATTACAAGGTGATCTATCTGCATCACCAGCCGGTGAGTGTTTGCATGTTTGGAGACCACACCTTACAGAAGGGCTCTCAGAAGCCTGACCTAGGTGTCTTGGGACAGGAAGATCTCGGATACTCAAAAGAAGCAGAGAAGGCGTCGAGAACCAGCTATCAACACGTGGCCTTCTTCGTAGAGCATTCGGTCGGTTTGAACCGTCAGTCTTTTCATAAATGCTTAACGCCTACGTGCGGCCGCACGTGGAATATGTTATCCAGGCGTGGTAGATGCGGCAGAAACAGGATCTTGTTGCTCTCGAGACTCCTCAACGAAAGGTAAGCAAGGTCATCAAAGGCCTCTTTCATCGGCCCTATCAGCCTAGACTGAAGTCTTTACAACTGTAAAGCAGTCAATATCGGCTTTTGCAGGGGGATTTCCTAACCGTTTACTAAATTATAAAGTACCCAAACCACATTTGCCGCCCCGTCCAGTAACTGAACCTCAACATGAACCTAAGAGCTCATCCTCTGAAACTGGCAGTACAGTATAGCCGGCTTGAATGCCGAAGAAATTTCTTTTCCTTCCAAGTGCGTCAACCGTGGAACGCTTTCCTAAATTATGTCATTCCCCCAATCTGGTGGTATTTAAAAAGTCTTGACAAATCGTTGTCTTAGTTGCATTTCATTTTATATCTTGTTAGCCAGGGGCTGCACAACGTAATCAAACGGTGTGTTAATAAACTACCAACCAATGGAGTTATGGATTTATAATTTTAATACGCAAACATCCCCACTCTCCTACCTATATTTATGGACATTCCACCAAAATGCTTTTCAATTTAACACGAGTTTTTATTTCCGCAATAATCTTCCTCCCACGGGATTTGTTAAGCATTGCCTTTTTACACCTTATACACCATTGTTCCATTGTCTTTTCTACTCGGAAATAGACAGCGCAAGTCTTTACTAGACGGATTTACATTATTTGGGGTGCAATGGGAGTATACGAGCAATAGAAAAGTTCTTTTAGTTTTTAGGACATGATCCTCGTGGATTCCTGGACCCCCATATTGGTACTTACTGCAAGTTCTTCCATTATCTGATCCATGATGTCTGTCGATGTTTCTTTGTAGGCGACTGCGGCTCGAATTGCATCTTGAAAGGCCCGAACCACATTCGTCCCATCTGAGGCAGATACGAAGTAAAACCCCATCTTATTTTTGCTTCCGAACTTGAAAGACTTGCTCACAACACTCATGTCAGCTGATAACGGAACAGATAATGTGTGAGGTTGGAACTTACCATCGATCTTGTTGGCCACACATAAGCACGGAATGTCCGGTCGATTTTGCCGTAACTCATCGTACCATTTCTGTAGGTTCTTATATGTGATTTTCCGTGTCACATCAAACACAAAGATACATGCATGTGCCTGATGATAGTATGCTGCGTGCATGCTTTGAAATCGTTCTTGCCCAGCAGTGTCCCAAAAATCTGTCGAGCAATTTGTCTGTTAGACGCTTCGAGCGTACTGACCGACTGAGATCTTCCTGCCATCTAGCTGTGTTTCATACTTGTACAATGTTAGTGCATGCGTTGACAATTGCTGAGGATGACTTTCGTTGACCTAAGGAAAACATGTCAAAATCGAAGATGGACAACCAGATCTTCATCTATGCCACGTTTAAATGTTATGGTTTGATCATCAGAGAAAATCCCGGCAAAGGAACCTAACTACGGAATACTTTCTGTTACTAGGCTACCACCCTAAGTAACTGCGCGTGTTTTTCGCTTGTATTGCCTTGCGATTGCAGAGAATAATCGAAATGATGACATTTCACAATATGTCTTCTCACTGTGCCAAGGAAATACTCTGTAGCCGGATGTGGTTGATGTTGGTGCTACGCTCAGTTCACGCAATGCAATCCACTAACAGTCATTCGCCAACGGTAGTTCGGAACCCAAACACAGATATTCATTCGAACTTTCACTAAAACCATATATGCGAAGCTGTTGCACCCATCAATAAGCGATCTTGGTTCCCACACACAGGAAGCCGACATGCACGAACTCAATTCGGTCTCTTAAGCTTTTCGTCACATCACATACTGGTTACCTTTGGTTGCACCAAATATATTCAACAGCAATAAATATTAGAGCTCGGCTATTTTGTCTGTAAGTATGCAAAGGACATAGCCTGACTGCCGTTGTCGGTACAACTGAAAGCGTTGTCTAGTGCTGCGTTGGTTACGTCGTTGCAGTGTGTCCACCGGAAGATTTATTACTCATCCGGTACTACTACGAGATACAGAGAGTGCTTCTTAGACACCGGTGATTAAAGACAAAAAATCTCGTGCTGTTATCAATGAACAGTGAGCATGCCTTTAGTCCACAGAGAAATAATGTAAGAATCATAATGCCCCTCATATCCCTTCTTCTCTTAATCAGCAATCGTACCTCTATACAGTCCCAAGATTCTTGGAGGTGTACTAATATTTTCAGTTAATTATTGGTGGACACGATATAGCCAACCGTGTATGTGAACAAAAAGTCCTCATAGTAGCTGTCTGCTTTTTCTGTGAACCGAAGGGCTATCGGTCTTGTGGTGGTGTAAAGTATGTACTGAAATAGGCTGTCCAATGCGCCGACCTGTTCAGCACTGCATATTTATACGTTGGGCTTGACAAAAATGGGTCAGATAGTTGACTACAAGGTCGTCTCCAACGCACATGATGCAGCTGTAAGATATGCCTTAGATCATTGAGGACATCAACTTGAAAAGAGTAAACTGTATATTAGTTGTTGCATGCCCGAAAACACTGAACACCACGACGCGTTTCGGTCTAATTCCATTTACCTTGTGTTTGTGCGTCTCGTTCTATGCGCACAACGAGTACTACCAAATAACCCCCCAAAATGGGATATAGTTTGGTTTTCATTGGTGAAAGCAAGGGAAATATATCTGCATACGCCGGATAGCCTAAGAGTACTAGTGCAGATATCTTAAAATAGGTAAACTTCTACGACGCCACGGACATCCGTTATCAGGCAATTTAAGGGCAAATTTCGACAGGTAAACCTGCTGTCACGGGCAACATAGGTGAATGTCAATGTGCCAGCAAGTAGCGTAAAGTAAAAGCTTGCAGGGGCATCCGTTTTCTGGACGGAATACAGCCTGTACTTCTTGTGAGTTCATTTATTAATACCTGAGTCAGTATCATATGGCACAGTTATCCTGCTTTCAGTTTGATCTTCCCTGCGTGAAAACTAAGCATGTGTGCTATATGTTACTGACTCAGTAACTGGAAACTTTCCATTTAATTATCAAGAACAAAAAACCGAAAATTTGCCACTAATCCTATTGTTTGGCTAAATAGGCTTTTAAACCGTAACTCATAGTAAAGCTGCTTGTTGGCTAAAGAATTAGAGCTTGGTAGCTCAGGTTGTTCAGCTAAAGTTGAGCTGTTCGCTGAGCTTGGCGATTCTGTTGTAAACGTTTCGTCACCAATCGAGGTTACATCATCAGTGCGTAGTTAAGTGGCGTGCAGTAGCATAGAGGAGCCTCAATGAGAGTGCGCTAAATGTGGTGTGCGTGCGTTTTTATACCGCCGTGGTTGCCCGTAGAGATGAGCAATTCTATTGGTTGGGACTTCGCTCCACGTTCAGCTTGGTTGATGGGCAGATGACTTTTGACCTTGACCCCTTGTGTTTCTTGGCTTTTGTCTGCTTGCTCTTGTGAGCGAGTCTGTCGTCAGTGCTGGTTGTCACACGTAGTGGGGACGAAACGTTTGCAAAAAAATGCTAAGCTCAGTGAACAGTTCAACCGCTATCCGAACAACCTGAGCTACCAATCTTTAATTCTATAGCCAATAAACGGCTTCACTATGAGTTACAGTTTGAAAACCTATTTGGCCAAACAAAAGGACTAATGGCAAATCTTCGAGCTTTTATTCTTGCTAATTAAATGGGAAGTTTCCAGTTACTGAGACAGTATCATATAGCACACCTGCTTAGTTTGGATGCAGTGGTGATCAAACTGAAAGCAGGATAACTGGGGGGTCACTTTTATACGGCGCATTCCCCTATGAAATGAGGGCCGGTTAATTAGATCACCGAGGTCGCGACTGAAGCGAATAAATATTTGGTGTTATCAGCTCGTAACATTACCTTCGAGGACTGGTTTCGTACTGGTTTACCGTTATCAGGCAAAGATAGTGGTCATGTGATGCAAAACAGGAACCTTCGGGTTAGTAACCTAAACAGTCAGGTGATCTTAAGATCGGCGGTGGACTGCGCTCTCGAATGATAGTATGTGTCACATTCGCATTGCATGTACTACAAAATGACCCCTCCAGTTAGTCATTAAAGTTGTGACAGGCGTGGTCTGCCGTGACTCATTGTCGATAGGGTAGAGTTTCGACTGACTTCCCAAAGGCATCGAGTTCGAAACGCACAAATACGAAATCGGTCTTGGAGTGCAGTATTATGGAAGGGTAGCATCCAACATATCAATGCTTTTCATGGAACAGTCTTTGTCCCTTGTAAGGAAGGGATATCCGGTTGGCGGTGTAGCACTTCAACTTTTAATCTTCCAGTTCAAATGAGCGGATTTCACTGGTATTTTTATTCGTCAGTTTTGCAGCCAAAGAACCTGAGAATTGTCGTCGAAATCAGGGTCTGGTTGCGCTCTCCGTTATCAAGAGCTGTGTATGGGTACTTCGTTACGGTATTACATTACCATACCACAATAATAGTGATATTAATGTGTTCGTCCCAGTAGTTCACAAGCTACATAGCACAGTTTCGCCCTATTGGGGCTTGTCAGTGGTGCGCATTCCCTCGGTCATCTACTGGGGATCGAACCAGTGACTGCAAGCGGCAGGTGCTAACTAGCCAGCAATTTAAGCCACTGGGCCATGGGGAATAGCAGCTGGGATATATAAGTTGCAAGCTAACTGGGATATAGCACGACCTATCTTCCACTACCCTGCAGGACACTACGCTTGCAGATGACAGTGGCTAGCCTACAGGTCACGGCTTCCTTTCACTAGACGCTACGTCCACAGCATTTGAAACTAGGAGAGGTCTCTCCTAGTTTTGCTTTATACCAGTATCCGTTAGCTTATTAATGCTCAACCTTCACTAATACGTTCGATCGAGTACGAAACCATCACTGGTGGTAAACGCGAGTCATTTACGCTTTCAGTATTTTTGACATTGGATTTTATTTTTGTTTGTTTCTTCTGAGCGCTTATTTGTTTTATTTTTGGTTCGCATTAAAGTTCTCTCTTAATCACGCGCTACCTTGCTCCGTGCCCCTTCTAATTTGCTTCTAGTTCAGTACAGCTCTGTACAATATACGTTCGGCCTCGCAAACTTCACGCTTCTGCATAATCGGTATCCGTATTGGTTCTTATTGTTTTTTGTCGCTGCCAGTACTTGAGTTTCGCTCTACACACTCAAACATACAATAATGTTACGCGAAGCATGCAATGAAGCGAACATACACAATGCAAGCAATCAAAGTGTAGTGTATTCACACGCTATTCTCATGCCGCAGCTTGGGTGAACAAGCTGTTTATCTGAATTGATTGTGACATGTCGTGGATGAGTCAACTCGTTATTTGGTTATAACACTTCATTGAGTAGTGCCACTAGTTTTGCAAATAACACTAACATTTATAATTAGTGGACAATGGAGTATTCTAGACTGCATGTACAAGGTACAGTTGCAAGATTGGGACGACAAGCCACCGGGTATAACCATAGCTGAACCGACAGTCCAATTGGTCAATCAATTTATTTACCTAGATATTTGCATAAATTCCTCTGTACACTTCAATGAGAATATTAATGCACCATACAGCAAACTTCATATGGCTTTCCAGTGTCTCAAACCCCACGGCGAAGCTTGTAGCAGATTATCATTTATGGATAGCATGCCCAACGCTACATGGAGCCCGTATGTAGCGTTCATAGCGTTCTCAATTTTATGCTTGGTCTCACTTCGTTTTTCATTCGATATTTACAGCTTGTTTGACTGACGGCTTTTTGATACGCATGTCCCGACCTACAAACCGCGCGTTCCGCTTTCTCCTGTGACGTGCTGAACTGGTTTCTTCTGTGTCTAGGAAATTTGAGCTTTGCCGAGCAGACATTTTGGGATATAATTTTCCGACTATTTCATCAGAACGTATTAATTCTCGGCGGAATCAATTGGGCTGACGATAGCTCGAAAATTAGCGTAAACAATTTTCTCTCTAATAGTGATTCGTTCCTTCTGTTGCTACCGTCTATGTAAAAATCTCCATTCCATTGCAGGTATTTCTGTATGGATTGGAAACAGTTACTTTACTCTTAAGACGTTACTAGGCAGCTTTCCATTGGTCTATAGTGTTTGCGGATTATTGCTGTGGTTGGAAAGGTGCATTAGATATACTGAACGTCTCCAGCAGGGGTAACACGTTAGTTTTCACTTAATCTGAACCGCTTGCTTGCGCTAGGTTGTGTCCTTCATATGTCCATTGGCCGTCTATCCCGTGTGCCTTACATGCAATCGCTGCATCTGGTCGAGTTAGCCCACGGTGTGGTCAATAGATGACTGTGAGAAGGCACA